TACTTCAACTGTATACAAACGTGGTGAAAACAACAGAGATTTAGTGCAGAGTCTTCCAATATATCTGATTTCCAATATTTCTCTCCAATATAGGTATGTGATGAGCCTCATCCTCTGCTTGTGAAAGAAATGATACAACATTGCATCAATGCAAACATTGATGAGGCATACAAGGTTGGTTTTCAGGTGTTGAGTCAGCTTACACACTTTTTCTCTATAGAATTCTAGTTTCCATTGAAGAATTCACAATGTGTGTTGTGTCTTTTAAGATAGGAGTAATGCCACATAATTAAGGTGATGAATTAAATACTTTCTTATGCAGGGGGTTGTTCAGATGAATAAGCCAACAAGCTAAAAAATAAGTTGTATTGAAATTACTTGCTAAACAGTTGATGTTAAATCATCTGATGAACGGTACATGTGGTTCCAGTAGCGATATCCAGCTGTTCCAAAAGTGAATAGACTTGACTCATCTGGGAAGTTTTGCAGATAAATGAGGGATTATTCTTGCCTGCACAGATTCTTGCCCACCTGTGGCGACTTGGATACGCTCCAGAAGATGTGATTGGCAACATCTTCCGTGTGTGTAAAACCTATCAAATGCCAGAATATCTGAAACTGGAATTTATCAAGGTTAGTACTAACACACTAATGTTAGTGTGGGGTCTGGTGGGGTCTTCTGGGCCTTCTTGAGAAGAGGATGTGATCCTGAGGGGCAGCCTCAGGGTTTTTCAGTTTGAGATTTGCTATTATTAGTGCAAAAAAGGTCTTTCTTAACTCATGACTTTCTTTCCCACTCTGCATCATCAGTTTGTCAGTAAGAATGGTCACATGAAGTTTAACGCCTGACCACCCCCAGAAGCATCAAAAGTCACCTTAGTGATCAGCTACAATTAATATAAAACATAATGCTGGCTGAATTTATTATGTATATCAAAGCCTCAGATAACTCCTTGAGAACTTTCCTGAAGCTCATAGCTGATTCTAGTCAAATAGATAATACTAAACTATAATACCATTATATTAACAGCCAATTGACAAATAGTAAATCTGGTGTAATGGAAACACTGTTCATATTTAAAACCTGTACTCAAACGTATGCACATTGCATCTTATAAAGGGAGTGGGGAAATACAGGCTTTGATTTAAAAGAAAACCCAAAGGTACGCTAGTTGTTTTACAAAAGAAGATGCACTTCTCTGAATTCTGAATGACTTAAAGTTGGTCTCTTAGCAATAAGGGGTATGTTCTATTTAGCCATTAGTCGTACTGTACATAGACTGGGGGAGGAAACAGAGAATTTTACAATGTCTTTATCACCAGGAAATCGGGTATACTCATATGAAGATAGCAGAAGGGGTGAACTCACTTTTACAAATGGCTGGGCTGCTGGCAAGGCTGTGTCAGAAGACTGCAGCCCCTGTAGCAAGTTAGATTACTTCACTGAGCTGAAGCTTCTGTTCCAGAGAGTGAAGGCCTGGTGTGCAAGGTCAGTAGCTCTGCATGTGTCCTCAGTCCTGCAAGCCTGGTCCCTCAGCTTTACTGACTCACAAACAAATAACCAGCTTCTATTGTAAAAATGTTTTGTACTTTTTTACTTTGACCAATAAAGCTTTACCATTTACTTTAACCCAAGAACTCTTTCATTATATAACTGAGGTAGAAGGAGAGGTCTGTGGTGTGCTCAGCAAAACTGCTGATGTCAGAAGTACAAAGACCTAACAGCAGGAGAAACAAAGACTGAATTGCGTTGTTAGTGATTACACTTAGAGCCTGGTCAGGAGTGGTCTTACTGAGATCAAGAAGGAAAAACTTTGGCACAAAATAAGACATTTAATGAAGTTACAATTGAGGCATGCTGAGCAGTGCCACTCCTGGGGTGCTGTTCATGGGCTGCGGGTCAGGAGGAGACTTTCACCAAACACAGAGGAGAAATTTTACACATTTCTTAATATATTTTGGATATTCCTTAGCAATCTTTAAAAAACTTACCAAATTCTGGGATGCTCCGTGTTTGAGTGTCCTTTTCTGTTCTTGCTTGTCCACGTTAGATAACGTCATTTCGCTATAGTTTCAGCATACCAAAAAGCTACAGCATCATGCTTTCTTGTCTGTTCCGTTTTGGAAATCACCTTGTCAGTGCAGAGGAGCAATAAAGCATGAAGAGCAGAGTGAAAGCAGATATAAATTGAATTTGACCACCTCCGTATCAGATGCGAGATGTGTGTCTCCAAGCAGAGCCATCTTAATATAATTAAGCACATTCTACTTGCAGCAGTCAAACAGAACACAGTAGAGGTACAAGTTTTGGGTGCCTGTACTTCCCCCCACTCATCCTGTTGACATTTTGCACCCCAAATACTGAATTGCCCACACCACAGCTGTGTCACTGCCAAACTGATCTTCACTGCAGCGTCAGTTTTGGGCTTCAGCCCAAAGCCCAGCCCCTGCTCCAAGGTAGAGGCTGCACGCACCCTCCCTTTCTCTGACTCGGCCACAGGGGTAATGAGATTTGGCAGCAAGAGCTTGTAGCATCGAAAGTTGCCCTGTCAAGACTTTCTGCAGCCCCTCTGACAGAGGCTGAAGACAAGCCTATTTAATCCAAAGTGCAGGAGAGCAAGTTAAGTGGCAGCTAAAGTGCTGGCACATTTGAGCTTGTTCCAAAATGGAATAAAGCAAAGAAGCTCTTAGAATAATGGATGCAGTAATCAGAAGTACAATTTTCCTTCACTAGGTATTTATTGGACTTACCTTTTGATTTTCAGCCAGTGAAACGTCCCTACTAGCACAAACACTGTTAAATACATGACTAATAATTTAGTATGAAGGGGCTTAAACTGCCGAGTTCTCTACAGATGCAGAAACTGCAATCAGGCACATTTAAAGAGCAAGTCATTTTTCTCTGGCTGTACATCACAGCCAGCCTACCCTGTCTTTGCTCTCTAGTTCAATATGATCATTGCTGAACAGGGAAAGAAGTGGTACTGCAAAGTTTCATAAAATACCCAAAGTTGTATTGGGAGGGCTCATGAGGCTGGGCCTTGCCCCACTGGATGTACGTATAATCCTGCCCAGGCATTATCTGCTCTTCTGTGCTGATGCCAGCGGAAGGGTGAGAAACATGTAGGGTCTGTTCCTACCTAGTGTACGTGGTTTTCTTCTCAACTATATTAGAGTCATAGAATCATTTTGGTTAGAAAAGACCTTTAAGACCGAGTCCAACCATTACCCAGGCACTGCCAAGCCCACCACTAAATTGTCTCTCAGAGCCACATCTGCAAGCTCATTAAATCCCGTCAGGGATGGTGACTCCATCACTGCCCCGAGCAGCCTATTCTGGTGCTTGAGAACCCTTTAGGTGAAGATAGTTTTCTTAATATCCAAACTACATCTGCCCTGGTGCAACTTGAGGCCATTTCAAGTAGCTGCATTTCACAGCTCCAGTTTGGAGCCAGCTCTCTTCTGGGCTAATCCTTTGCTGCACTGTGGCATATAATCATACTTTTCCTAAGAAGAACAGTATCAGCCCAAGAGGCCACCAACACAGTCTGTTCAACCAAAGGTGGCTGCTCACCCCCCTCTCTGAGGGCAGAGCTTCTGCTTTCCAGCAGCTGGCTCAGGTTCCCCAGTTCCATTCAAGAGATGCACCAGCAGTGCCAAACCTACTTCTCTAATGCATCTTAAATTGAAAACAGGAAGTGAATTGCTCACTTGGCTGCCTACCTAGCCTGAGGAGAGAGCTACATGCACCCAGGGGAGATGTCATCTCTCCTTGCGTTATGTTCAGACAATACAGGCTCTGGCAGATCTGGTTGAGCACCAGAAATCCTCTCACACCTAAAACATCCTGGAAGGACAGTGTGTCGGTGAACACACTCACATGCACATACCCAGTGCAAGCAAAATCCATAAGGTTTTTCAGAACACAACTGTAATCAGTGCAATGAAAGTTCCTGTACAGCCCCTGGGTATGTTTCAGCGCGATGAGGTGACTGGCTGAAAAGCACTTGAAGAGCTTTACAAAGCTAAGAACAGATTTGCCCCTGGCTACAACCGGCTGTTCTGGAGGGATGCAAGGGGGGGAATTGCTCAGACTCCCAGTAAGACAAGGGAAGATGCTGCAGACTCAGCTCCTGCCCTGCCTTCTTCGGCTCCACAGTTTTCAAACTCAGGTTTGGCAATGGAGGAACCTTATACCAGGAGCAAATATTTAGTGTAATCCATGTCCCTGCTTCGCAAGGCAGTAAACCTGGTACTGTAGTGTTCACCTAGCAGCTAGAACTTTCTGGGAGCTCTCTAGCTGGGTCTATTAAAGCATGCCAAGGATCTTTTTTGGCTGCTAATCTTTTCCCAATCATTTAATGGCTCCCTCCAGTTAGGAGATGAATCAGCAGTAGGTGTAACATCACTGCACATCACTGGAAACGGAGCTCGTCCTTCCCCTCCAGCAAAAAATCCACAGTCTGCAGCACTTCATGGAAAAAGTGGGAAGTTCTTTGCGTGCTGAGTTAGTCACCACAGATGAACCAGTGGTGACAACCACATGGCCCTGCAAGCAGGAGCAAATACATTTGTACGAGCTACAAGGCTTCTGCTAAGCTAAACTCCAACCTTCCTGCTGTTTCAGTGCACAAACTAGCCACCCATGATCTAGACATACAGCTAAGTCATTTGCAGCAGGAAGCAGCTGACAGCCCCTTCTCCCTCTCCAGAGCCTGTTCACCCTTAGCTCCATTTCTCTGCTCACTCTTACCTGTCTTGAATAAGTGTATGTGAGCTGTGTCCCTTCCTGAAGCAGTTTTCTGAACTGATTTTAAAGAAGGTGGCTTTTAAGGAGCTACATTTTCTCCCCATCAGATCCTATGCATCATTCCATGTCACAGAATCATAGAATAGTTAGGGCTGGAAAGGACCTTAAGATCATCATGTGTTTCCATCTCTGTCTCACCCAACCACTCAGACAAAATCTGCATCATAGCAAGCCATAATAAACCACTGCATTCTCTTTGGAGGCCTTTCAACTTTAATAAATAAGTGGTAAAACGGTGCCAAATCTGTGCATTAGGGCTCAAGAGACAAGGACTGTGTTTCAGGGCTGATGTTCCTACAGCACGACTAAAAAGACTTGGTGCAGTTTCTCAGGCTGGCAGCTGTGGATCTGACCTTCTCAGCTGTTCCAGGGTCTTTGTATTGTTATAAAACAGATAGTGAAACACAAGAAAAACTGCCATGGATACTGTGAATTACAGGCTGTGGATAAGGCAGGGATTTAATCCTCTTTAGCTCTGGTGAACAGGTTCATATGACATTTAGCTCCAGAGAACCACTGCTGTTGTAAAAGCAACCACTGCCTTGCCAGTTCCTCTCTTGTAGGAAACTGCTTCTGTGGGAGAGCATAGGAACTAAATCAGAACATAATCCCTATGCCTTAATACCACCATGCATGAGTCACCCTGACAAATTAAGTAGCTGGCTGCATTACTGCTCAGCAATTTAAACATTCATTTCATGCTTGACAGGAGAAAACATTGCACAGAGTGGCCATCCTCCTTCCAGTAGACATGCAGGGAAATGAGATGGGAAATGGCCCGTGGCCACTGAGTACTTTCTCCAGTTGCAGGTTTGCAGTTGGACTTCCATGGGACTTCAAGCAGAGCATTGCTTCCTTTTAGTGGCACCTTCTGCATGATCTTGGGCACAGTTTGGTGAAGAGATTCCTCTGAGGGATGGAAGTCCCCGTGTGCTCACTGGTGTGCTCCTACAGCTCAGCTAAGGACTTCTTCAGGCTTTACACAGAGTACTTGAAATGAGAGGGGGGTAAAAATAGTGAGTCCATTGACTTTTAATCCCAGCTTTCAACTTCTTAACTCCGCTGCTCGCTACATTATGTTTCTAGGGCAAAAAGCAGGGCCACACTATGGCTAACACAGAAATGTAATCCCCCCTCCTCACAAGCTCTCTGTGGAAGAGGAATAGATGCAGAACTGCTTATAAAAGTTACTATTAGAGCACTTTTATCACTGTTTCATGGCTAATCTTCCCTGCCAGCAAGGGGCAAAGCTCCCACCAAGCTCTCTTTGGCATAAACCAAATCCTCCCACCCCCAAATAAATACATCAACCACTGGCTCTCCTTTACCTTTGCTTTGCCAGCGGGGCAGGGCCTGATGCAGGAGCTGTGTTGACATAGTCTGGCTCATCATCCAGGCTTTCTGTCTGCAGAGCTGCAAGTGAGGGATGGGAAGCACTGATCAGTGAGTGGGTTGATCTAAAAACACATTCACACCATAGACATGCTCTGTGCTCTGCCAGTGTTTAGCCTTTGGTGACAACGTGGCTTTGTGCCTGGGCCAAGAAACCTCAGATCAGCATCAAGGTCTCCTTGAAGGGGATTCAAAATGGTCACAGCAAGCAGTGAGCTTAGACAGCTTTTCAGAGCCAAAAGAGATGACTTAGATTTAGTTTAGAGAAAGTGTGCAAATAGGATAACAAAAATCACTTTACTTACACAGCTTCCAGTCCAGAGACAGAAAGCTCTTATATATACATGTATATGTTCACCACTATCTCCCAGGCCAGACTACAAATAAGCTTCACAGGAAGCCACATGTTAAACTGCTGTTTAAAGGTTAGCTTAAGAAATGTGAACCCCTGACTACTGCAGGACAGTGTTGGGCTGACCAGTGTTGCTCAGAGTGTTGGGATGTGCGTGCTGCACGTTTCTCTGTCAAAGGGGATTACAAGGCTGAGCTTGCACCAGGGCAACTTCAAAACCTAAGAGGGTATAAGACATGAAGAGCAACGTCCTCCTGTAGCATCCCATGGTCAGGGTTTAGGCACAGCCACCTAGAGAGTAGCCTTTTCAGTACTAGAAACACCACATCCCCCCACAGCAGTATTCAAGTACGAGTTCGTGTACCCGTTTGCACATTGCCATATGTGTTAAGCACGGATGACTGGGAGGGCAAATAAGACGGGGGCAATGGCTGCATTGCTGTGAGCATGGTCTGTACTGCTCAAGAGCCCATGAGCCCCGTTCCTGCTTAGCAGACAATTACTGGGAACATACCTTCTGCTTGATGGAGTTGCCATGTGTATATCGCCGAGCTGTTCTCGTAGTCTGCAGCATCATCTGTGACCAAGAAGAGTTTGGACAGGATGATGCTAAACAGCAAAGGGACTAAAAATGAGCCTTTGTGACACCCCCCCTTTCTACCGCCCCATCCACGTGGCTGAGTTTCCAGCCAGGCGGCTGCTGTCCTGCCCTACATCTGCTGATGCTGCCTCACTGCTTTTCCAGCCTCAACCACGTGCCTGGGTATCTGCAGGCACAGATGGGATCAGGCTGGTCCCTGCTGCTCCTGCCTCCCCTGATTCCTCCGGCGGGAGCAGGGCAGGCTTTAGCACTGCAGAAAGTGTTGTGTTCAGTCTCTGACAGAAACCAAGTTGACTTCCTATTCTGATTGAAACATCCCAGGGCAGAAGCTGGAAGCCCTTAAGCTGACATTGTGGTCCAATGCCACCCTCCAGCAGCTCACTGGCTGCAGGCTTCTTGGGCTGGACATGGTGACAAACCCCACGGTGAGCTGGGGGCTACAACTGTGATCAGAATTGGCTGTAACAACACTCAAAACCTCGAGGAGCAATGCAGACCCCAAACTGCTGCAGAAACCTCCAAGTCAAAGGGATCAGTTGGAGATGAGCTCTCATCCCCTAAGTATTATCACATGCATCTTCCTGCAGCAAGCAGAAACACTTCAGGTCTGCTTTGTGCCTGCAGCAGCCCTGGCACCCTGGCTACAATAGGAAGAGCTGAGCCTGTGAATGAGGAGGGTTTCCTGAGCTGAGCAGGTCACCCTCTCTCTCTGCACTCCCAGGTGTGTGTGACACACGTGAACCAAAACAGCAGCACCTACCCACATCCGAGCCCTGAGGCGGTCCAATGATGATGTTTTGGTAGGAATGGGAATCCTCCTCTTTTTCTGGTGGAGAGAAGAAAGGGGAGGGGACAAAGGACAGAAGGAAGAGTAGGTGAAGATCCCTCAGCACCTGCAGGAGAGGGCTGTTTCCCACAGAGAAACACACATTAGGTAAAAACCCATCAGTCTTTGTGACAGCCTGCGCTGACCCAGGGATGAGGCATCCCCAGCATATGGGTCATTGAAGCACCATGGGAGCACCATCACCAACAGCATGGAGCCACCCAAGGGCAAGCAGTGGAAGCTGGTCCTGAGGCACCAGGACTTTCCCTATGGCCAGGAATAAACACAATAAGCATAATTACCAGCCCTACAGCAGCCCTGAGGTGAACAGGGGAAGGTGAGGAGTGAATCCCCAGGTTCCCAGCCCAGGCTGGCAGTCAGAAGGAGTTTTTCCTTCCTGCGGAGCATTAAGTTTGCAACCGTGAAGCCTTCTTGGGCTTGTTCTTAGTTTCTAGGAAGGAAACTGATCCCCATTCCAAGCACATCAAACCTAACAGCATCTGGAACCAAAACCAGCTTGGAGTAATTTAAAACTCCCAATGCATTTGTTCTGTTGCTGTTTATTTCAGCCCTGGATGGGCCCATGAGGAGCTGAACCATATATTGCTAACCTCCAAACCTGCACCCACTGATGCCAACACCACGACTGACACACAGCACTTGGTGTGGACATGGCCCCTAAGCTGGGAAACTTTACAGACCCCATAAGCACCACTGTGGCCCATGCTGGGACCCTCAGTGCTTCTCCAAAGCCTCACTGAAGGGGAGCAACACTGAGCTCAGCCAGGACAGGCAGTCCCTGACGGGTGAGGGCTCTGCTGTCTAAAACCATGCCGGGCAGGAGGGGAGGGCATTAGCCAAAGGAGCCACTCAGCCCAGCTCTGCAGCAGCTTCACACGTGCATTGGCTCTAGGCAGCCCTCAGCCACTGGAAAAGCATTAAAACTAATAAGGGATACAAACCCATTCATGTTAATAACAGTGCAGTTTCTCCCCCTCCAGCCTCTTCTTTTAAATAAGGTAAATGTTTTGGTAAGCAAGGTATTTTTCCTATTTTTTTGTTAATCTCTTTTTTTTTTTTTTTGTGCCCCCCCCCCCCCGCCTCTTTATATAAAAATAGGATTCCTGCTTTGAAATTCATTTTAGATAAAAATAGATCAGTGTCCGAGTCAGTGCAGAGAAGTGCTGAGTACCCAGGGAGGTGGGAACATTGCAGAGATGCAGTATTTGCCTTGCAAAGATGCACTTGTATGGAGCAGCGTGTTTCACCCCACTTCCATTCACCGGCTTCATAAACCAAGCACACGAAATGTCTGAAGGTGTTCCCTTGGCAAAAAGCTTTGGGATGAGGATGTGCCCATTCCCGTGCTTTTGGCCATGACCATGTGGGGCTGCAGCCTCTGCTCACACAAACCAGACTGAGCTAAGAAAAGGGAAATGGCCTCACTACCCTGAATGCTCTTGTAGTGATGGATAGTTTGGTGCTGAAACAGACTAAGAACAGTGTTTTGTGCAGTTAGAACCAAGAATAAACTTGGGCTGTCCTGATATAGCCAAGAGATGGACTGGTCGGGGCTTGGGCATCCTTCAAGCACCACATCTCCACTACACCCCTTAATGAACATGACTCCTGGACCCACACTTGCTTCAAGCCATATGGCAATAACACACAGACCTGGACAAGAAGAGTTTTGTGAGCATCCTGAGCCACAACAGCTAGGCTGGTGGCCTGAGAAGAAACCCATCTCACTCACATGGAGGCCTTACCATTGGGTGGTGTGAAGAACGTGGCACTGTTGTAGTAATCCAGAGATATGGGCTCCCTGCAGGAAGAGCAGTCAGAGTTAGCTCCTCTTGCCCACAGCCTGAGCTAGAAGAGAGATAGGGCTGCACTGAGACCAGTATGGCTCTGCTCCATCATGCTGGTGGGCAGCACCCAGCTACTTACACATAGGCATCATCACCTTGCAGGCAGTCTTCTGCAAGCATAAAAGGTTTGCCATCAGCACAGATACCACTGCATGGACCCAAACCAGCACCCCAAAGCACAGCTGGACAAATGCCCCAAGCACAGCTAAAGCAGATGTCCCCGGCACAGCCCCCAAAACCATCCACACGCAGAGCCAGGAGGCTGGAGCAGGGGGAGGCAGCCCTGATCCACCCCAGGCCTTGAGAAAACCAGGGCTCATGGACAGATCCTGCCAGCTGGCAGGGAGATCAGGAATATTCTCCCTGGTTTGGGAAAGGAGAGCACAGCCCCATGCACCAGTAATCCTCTTAGGGTCAGCGTGTCTTACATGCAATCACTACATTAACCAAGCCCAGCTGCAGCGTTGGCTGCCTGCGTGCTCCCATCAGTTCCCCATCCCTGTAACTTCCCATCACCCTTCCTCCCCAGACCCCTGGGCCGTAGCATTTACCTGTCCAGAAATCCCGATACCTGGACTCGGCCCTGCTCCCTGGGGAAAAGCAGAGGGATGCCTTACACTCAGGCTGACAAATGGGAGCAGTTCAATGATGGAGAGACTGAGCATTCTGGTATCAGCAGCTTTGTCCCCACTCGGCTCTTTGGGGCCAGGGCTGCAGGACTGAATGCCCCAGATACTGGGACAGCCAGGGGTGATGCTTGGAATAATCTGGCCCTGTGTCTCTAACCAGGACTGCTCAGCACTGGATTTTCAACTCAGACCCAGGCTAGGTCCTGTTAAGCATCACTGTGCAGCACCATGAGTAGTGCTGCTGACAAGAGTGAGCTTTATCATTGCCCATCTTGTTCCCAGGATAACACCTCATTGCCCTGCCCACGTCTGGCTGTGAGTAACCAGCCTTGCAGAGGCTCCATCTTCCCAGTGGGAGCTCCCAGCAGGCACCGACACAAATGAGCCAGGATTTGCAACATCCCCATTTAGGAATGGGGTGCTCCCCTGTGGGTGGGGAGAGCATCGCACCAGCTCCCGTCCCAGGGGGATGCTCACCGTATCCAGCGTGATGGGTGGCACCAAGCTCCTTGGTGGTTTTCCTGACAGAGGGAAAAAGGAGCTAAAATTCCAGGTCTGAGCAAACAGCAACAGGGTTACAAACCACAGCAGTGACTAAGCCAGAAAGACCATGTGCCAAACCTGCCTGCAAGGTTATGACAGGATACACATCGAGCAACGCGAGATGAAGAGCCTGGAGTCAAATCCCGAGATGGGAATAACTGTGCTTGAATATTGCTGCAGAGTTGTTGCAGCCATGGAGTTCAGGAGGGCGTTGGTGATGGGGAGAAGGGGATTTCTTGTGCCAAACTGCTTATAAGCACAGAATGGCCACTTCTTTTCCATGACGTGCCTGTTATGTACAGCCACAGCTCATTTCCTTGGATTCAGGTTAAGTAGTTGCCAGCAGAATGCAGCCAAACTGCAGAAAATCCAGAAAGAGCCTAAACCCGCTATTGACCATCAATAAATTAAGCAACCTGGTCTAGTTGAAGATATCAAGCACATGGCAGGGGCATGGACTGGATGAGCTTTGAAGGTCCCTTCCAACCCAAACTGTTCTATGATTCTTACACCAGCATAGCCCAAGGCACATTTATGTGTTCCAGAACCCAATCCCAAATCCAAAACATTTGCCTATCTTGGCTGAACTTATCCAACCCTGGCTCTGCAGCGGGATTTTGTTTATTTGGGGTTTGTTACCTACCTCACTATTGATAAGTTCTCAGGTTCCTTAACTTGTTCCAGCCTTCGGGTCATAGCTAGCACCAGGAACAAAACAGGGTGTTAATGGTCCTGGTAGCAGCAGGTGTTTCCAAGAGCACAGAGCATCCACCACAGCAGATCCCATGGTGCTGGCCAGCATTCTTCTAACACATCCCAAAACCGCTTCCAAAGCGTTCTTTTAAAGTTCATAAATGGCCAAAAAGGAAACAAATGGAGGGAAAGCTGGTGTCTGTGCAGAGTGCCGAGCTGGCAAACACACACCAGAGGAAGCTGCAACCCCAACTGCTGCCTTATTGCCTGTTCTCCCCCAAACCTGTTCGATTTGGAGCCTTTCCCATGCTCAACACCCGTCCCTTCACACTGCAGGATGCATCGGTACGTTGCGATGCTGCGGTTGGGCTGGGCTGAAGCAGAGACATGCAGGGGGTTATGGAGCTCGGGCCCAGGCAGGTGCCAGGAATGGGACCCTGGAGATGGTGACATTTAACGCAGACCCATCAGCAGCTCACGTCGGGATCACAATCAAAAGGTCAGTGTCTAGCCCAGCTTGCTGCAGGAAGCAGGAAGGGGGCGATGGTTAATGACTCACTATCAGTTTGGGTTCCCCCACGCTGTTGTTTGCACAGGGTGAGCAGAGCCGTTTGAAGAGCCCCAGTTAATAAGAGGCTGCGCTTTGGTGATACTGCTTTAGCCATCTATTTTCAATGCAAAGGGAGATTCTTTTCCTAGAGCTCAGAATCCACACGCCTAGGAGCATCTAAGGTGGCTTTTACAATCTCAGTCCTATGACATTTCATCGTCTGGCTTCAAGGTGACTCTATGTTTACTCCCCCCCCAGTTCTGTGCATGCAGGACCTGCCCCCTGCAATGTAGGAGCCCCATCAATGCTCATACTCACTGGAATGGGATCGGATCACCTCAAAACTCTGCCGGCTTCTGAGCCTGGAAAAAACAGAGGTACAACCTCAGCTGAATTTTGGAAAGCAAACGCAAGAGACCTCCCTGTTTGGTGGGTGGAGGGAGGAGAGCGCAGCCTCCACACTGGGCTGGATGAAACACAGAGGGAGCATCGCTCAGCACATCATGTAGGACCTGTTATGAGCTGGGAACAGTGTCCCAGGCTCCAATTTGTCCCTTTAAAGTCAAGATGTGCTTATGGGCCACTGGCAGAGCAGCCAACGTCAGCTCAGAGAAGGACTTGGGATGAGGAAAACATCGTTTAGGATAATTCCTGTTCTGACACTTTAGGAATGGGTTAAGGCCAGAAGAGTACTTTCACCCACAAAAAACTTGGGTGCTCACCCATGAAATGGCTTCAAACCCCACTGCTTCACCTCTGCTGCTTTCCCCGGCCCTCCCAACATCCCTTAACATCAACTTGAAAGCAATAACATACAAGATCAACAATAACACAGATGCCCAGTAACCACGTTTTAGTTAACACGAGAGCTGCTCTTTAGAGCACAAGAGGATTCAACAGCTCTTCCACGGCAGGTGCATACGGGCACCTATTAACTCTGATTTTAGGACCCTGAAAGCATCCCCTTCCTCCCCTTTCCCTTGGGCCACCCCCTGTCCCAAGCCAGTATTCATGGCACAAAGCTGGCCATGGTAGATGAGGAGTCCAAGGACCTCACTACAAGGTCTGCAAACATAGAGTTAACCTACTCTGCTTGCAGAAAGCCTGAACTACCCCAAAACCAGATTTCTAACAGGAGCAGGCACCACCATGAGCCTGAAACCAAACCACCTCATCCAGGTATCAGTTCCAAGGAGTCAGGACAATTCAACACAAGCCCATGGGGGACAGAGCCTGCGCTGGCTTTAACATCAGTCTGCAATGGACCACATCAGAGCTTTCCCCCATCCTCGGCAAGCAGAGCCAAAACAAACACCCTGACCCCACACAGGCCTTGCAAAGCCCCTTTGCACCGTGTTTACTCCTATATCAAAGGTTACAAGCCAGCTTTTTCACCTTTTCCTTTTATCACCAAGCTGTGGTTTGTCTGCTGCTGGAGGAAACAAGTGGGGTGCGGTGTGTACAATGCATTTCCTTCACTGCTCATGCTGCACGTTGGTGGTTGCTCTGGCTCAGGGTCCCACCATGACCAGCCAAGGGCCTTGTTTATGAAGTTACCAACCTCTCTACCTCATCTTGGGGCACAACAGGGCAGGATAAGGACTTGCCCTTTCAGTTCTCACAGAGCTTCTCCCAGCTGGTGAATGACTCACAGGAGCCACGGTCAGAGCTGCAGTGTCAGTTTGGGTGGTTCTTTGTAAAGGCACTACCCCTTCTGCAGCCCCTGGGCTGGCACACGCTGCCCCGCATTCCCCATTCTGGGGTTATTTTATCCCAGCTGTGATCCATGGAGCGGGTCTGGCTCTGGCCAGGTCTCACCCTGACTGAGCTGTCTGGGGAGAAACAGCAAAGGATTGGGAAAAGCAACTTACTGGCTCCTCCGGTCATTCAGCTGCTTCTCTCGCTTGGTAGCTGGAAGAAAAGGAGAAAAAAGTCCTTAGAAAAGGATCGTTTGGGAGTTAAAGATCAGAAAGACCAATAAAACACAGTCACAAACCTTCCTCACCCAGGAGCATGCAAGGACAGCAGAAGCCGCAGTCGTGATGCAGTTTTGACTGATGCTTTTAAACCATGCTTGTATTATCTCAGACACCAGAGCAAGTGACCCATTCCTGTCCCCTGAACTGCAGCCTCTCTGCCCCAGAAAAGCCCACACCGTGCTCAGAGGTGGGCTCAAACCCCCACTAGGGTGGGTGCTCACCCATTCTCTTTGTACTTAGTGTCTATCTGGATTCATCCCCCAGACTCTCCTCCTGCCCATCTGCCCCAGAGCCTCTGCATCCGGAGATGCTCCTCCGGGGTGGGTTTTCCCAAAGCCACCCCCCATAGTGACCAGGGAGAGGGGTCTGCAGCCCAGGGTGTCGCACCCACCCCAGGGAAGGGGTGCTGTGAATCAGAGGCTCCTTCCCTCAGTTGCTCTGTGACCACCAGCAGAGACCCTAGAGCATCCCTGCGAGGGCAAAGCTCCTTGAGCTGGCACATGGCTGAGCAGAACCAAACCCTCCCGGAGGGAACGTCCCAAGAGCAAAGGGGTGCACGGGGCCACAGGCAGCACCCAAACCACATGGTCAGGACCTTACCCGAGCGCTGGCACTTGGCGCAGAGGCTGATGGCAGCCCCCAGCAGCATCAGCGCGGCGGCTGCCCACAGCAGCTCCATCTGCACCATGGCCCGGCCGCATCCAGCCTGAAACAGAGCAGCAAGGGTAGCCTGTGAGCACTGGCATGCTTCCACCCCCCCAGACACATGCCCTTTGCCTTCACAGCCCCAAAGGGCCGGGTGCTTGCTGAGGGTGCAGAACAGGCTTTAGGGTTGTGTTACAGGGCAGCAGAGCAATGCCCTTTCCCTGCTGCTCTGGTCCGGGGCCCATGCACACTTAGTGCTCCACTAAGACCTGGAGGTAAACCCCTATTTCACTGTAGGGAAAGAAAAGGGACTCATGAAGATCGCCTCAGGACAATAGCACAAAGAGGAAAACCACACTCGGGTCTGCTCATTCCCACTCCCGTAACACACTTTGCCATCATCAGAAGATACCGTCTGTTAGTATCTGGAAGAGAGGCAAAAAGGGCAGCTTTGAATATTCCCAAGTGCCTCCAAGACCTTTGTACCAGAAGCTTTGGCTATTTCCCTGCAGCACAGAGTTACTTTAAATGTTAAATCCCCCACAGTTTTTCCTGCCTTGGGCTGGCTCAGACACCAGCTCTTCCCCTCCCTTCCATGAGAGGCTCTTCCACGAACAGCAGTAACACTTTGTAAGGATCAGCATGATTTGGCTTCAGTTTCTTCCTTTAAAATACAACCCACCCTATAAATACCCCAGCAACCGGCCTGCTGGGAGCGAGAGGGATCCTTTCACCCATTGCTATTCCCCAGGGATGGATTTTTCTTTACTTACAGATTATTTTAATCTATTTTTGTTTTTTAATAAACTTCTCCTTTGGCCCCTAGGGATGGGGAGACTTCAACTTGCCAAAGGCCAGGACGTCACTGCTCTGCCTGCAGGAAGATTTCCTATTGCCTAACTGCAATCTCCCTTATTACAGTTTAAGCCTGTACTGTGCTGGTATAGCCACTGTGGTTAAAAGGAGGAAATGTGTGTATATAGATTGGAGGAAATACAGATATATGAGAAATAATTACAATAATTAAAACTATTTAAACAAATAGCAATAAAAGACAATAGGAAACGGCCTCTCAGTTCTACCCTGCTTAGCACCATCTGCTTCCGTGTGTGTAAAGTAGAATAAATAACAATTCTCTGCCCAAACTCAGATTCCCCATTCACAGTGGAGAAAACTCTTCCTGCAGCAGCCCAGCCCTCGATGCTGACCAAGCATCCTCCTGCCCATGCCAGTCACTCAGTGCTGACCAAGCATCCTCCTGCCCATGCCAGCTGCTCAGTGCTGTAGCCAGGGATGCTGGTGGAAGGTTTGTGGTCCAGATTGGCATTGGAGTCCTAGTCCTATGCCACTGTCATAATGACCATGGCGTAAATCAGTGTGAGGCAGAGGAAAGAAAGGAAAGACCCAGTCTCCCATTTCTGCTTTGAACAGCCCCTCGAGCGCAGCATTGCTTTGTCCCTGCCAGGAGGGAGGGACTGCAGAAGGACAGGGTGAAGTTTGGTGTCAGCATCCTCTCAGTGATGCCCACACACAGCCTGGCTGCCCAAAAGTGACCCCACACCCAGCACAAGTTGGCTTCGAGACCATCTTCTCTGCTTGTGAGCAAAGTGGGTCTATTTCTGCTCCCTTCGAGGCTGCCTTGAAGGGCTCACAAGGACACAGCAGCTCCCGGCACTCGCTGCACTGTGGCTTTGCTCTTTATAAACTCCCCAGGGGCCTTTCCCCCAGAGTTTCTTGCAGCACGTTCCGAAGATGATGGGATGAGCTGTGTTAAATTAGCAGCATGCCCAGAACGCCATGGACCTGCCCCAGGGGTGCGGGACCAGCACCCAGTCAAAACCATGCGGTTTATCACATCATTTTCCCTTGGCTCAGCATCCCCCATGGAAATCATGAGCTGTGGATCACCTCAAAAGCATCTGCAAGAGGCAGCTAAGGGAAGCTGACCCTATGCTGGTGACTGAAATTCATTATACAAAGGGCTGCAACACTGCTGGTGCAGTTGGGGGGGTGTTTTGGCTTCCCCCCCTCTTTTTTCTTTCCTTTAAAGATCAGAGCTGAAGGCACCTGACTACACTGACCCCTTCTGTACTGCTGCAGGGCAGGCTGCCATCTCCCTTCCACAGCTGGGTTTGTTTCTGCAGTGGGGCAGTAACACCACAAACCCAGGCTGCTCCCAAGCCCCTCACTCAACGGGAACACCAATGGTGGATATTTGCAGTGATGCCGAGCAGGGCACTACACATCCCATCCCCATCACAGCATCCCCCATGGAGAAAGCTCCTGCAGGCGCCAAGCCAGAAGCACAGCACCAGCCCAGGGGTTGTTACTTGTGTTCACCAAACACTCAAGTGCAGGGATATCCTCTCTTTGTGCCCAAAGCTCCTCTCGTAAGGAGCCGATGGGAGGAGGTGATGAACAGATTTATGACGAGCAGACGGCTGGCAGCATATAAATGCAGTCTTTGGAAGGCTGAACGTGCTTTCCCTGCTCCCTGCCTTGGGGAGATGGAAGAGGAGAAAACACAAACCCAAGCTACTGAGGTCTGTGATGAGGCCCGAGTGCATCCGAAGGATGCACCAAGTTAATGACTTGCTTTCAAGGTGCTAAATTCAAACATGGGGAGAAAACAGGTTCGCATCTAGCTCCAGGAGTGACACTCGGATGCTGTCGAAATGCCCTGTTCTGTTATGCACTTCCCTGTTCTCCTTTTCTATTGGTTTTTCCCCACCATTTCGTGCTGACAGAAGTTCCTCCTTGCATGAGGGAACTGGTGCAGCCACAGCGCGTGCCTCTGGCACCAGCACTGCCAAATCCCCCAGGAGCAGCCGCTCCCAATGAGTGATTCCAGGGAGAACATCACACCGGAGGCTGGGTAAAGGCACGGTCCCTGCAGCACAGCACCCCTCCTGGCAGGGGGAAGCATGCCTTCTGCACAGGGGCTGCTCGTTTCATGGCCTCGGGTATTCATAGCGAAGAGACAAACAGGGTTTACAATGGGAAGAATGAATTTGCCAGTCATAATTCCCTGTGTACGTGCCAGCCCCATCAGCTGGTGTGGAGGGTTTCTAGTCCTAAATGAAGGATTAAACCCAGAGACAGGAGGGAGAGGTGGTTTTACCAGGGAAGACTGAAAAGGTCTCTCACTTTTAAGTCTACTAAAGCAGAGGTTGAGAGTGCATGGACATTAGGGTGAGATACTTCTCACCAAAGTGAGAAAAGATGTTATTTAAGTAAGAGAATACTTGCTTCTAAAATGAGTGGCTGTAAGGGGGGTATGCACAGGCTAGAAAGAAAGTTCCTAATGGATGGAAAGCCTGGAGGATCCTTCCAAGGGCAGCAGAAGAGGCAAAAAGCCCACTTAAAAACCCTTTAAGAGCACTTCAACCATACTTAAACTCTTTGATGAGAGCCCAGGAGAGCGTGGAATGTGTTGATGTGGCTGGTTTTCTGCAAGATCACTCTTAAGGGAGTCATTTCAGCCCTTTGCAGGCACCAAGCGCAGCCCTCAAAGCCTCTCACGTTGTAAGAGGAGGACTGAAACTGCAGGTCTATACCATGCACCCAACCTAGCTGTACAAATAAACGCCCCAAAGGCAAATACAAAGCAGCCATCGCGTGTCCCCTCCAGAAAGCTGTGTGCTCTGCACCAGTCTGCCATAGAGTCAGCCTAATTCGGACTGACTGGATGAGTCACGGCAGGAAATGTAGAGTTTATTTAGAACCTCGCCATATGAAATTAGCACAGGGACTCCTCGCACAGCCGCACCGCTCACCCTGACTCAACGTCTCCAAGGCAAGAAGCACTGCCTTGCACGGATTGCGCCAGCAAGCCCCATCCATGGAGGAACTGAAGTCTCCAAGGGAGCTCCTGGGTTGGAACCACTTCAAGGACCAGTGCTGAGCCTCCAGCAAAGCTCCTTTCCAAAGGCCTCCATGTCCCATTTCCCACCAGTTTGCTTCGGAAAGCTGCTGCTGTATAGATAAGGTCTGGTTTTCTACAGCTATTCAATTCAAACAGACCCTGCTTCACTTTACACCAAGGGAGCAGTAGATGCATTTCAATAGAACACAGGACAAGAGAGAAAACAGGAATCGATAGATGAGCTTTCACGTAGATCATCACTTTGTAAAATGCTTTAAAACACCTCAGGTGGGAAACACAGCACAAAATCCTAATCACAAGCAGCAAGGCAGCAGAAATACCTTGTATTTATCCTTAACTTCCCCCGTTTCAGGCAGCATCAAAGCCATGCAGCATCCTTCATCACTGCTGTGGAGTCCAGGGGGATGCCATGTTAGGAACCGCAGATATGGGCAACCCACATGGACGTAACTCAGTACTCTTACATAGTCCAGAGCAATGAAATGAGCTAATATCACACAAAATTATCCTAAAATTATCCTGTTCTGCTTAAGTGTCTACCTCTTGGCCTGTATCACACTGAACGTTGATCACGAGAGAAAACTTCCACAAAAACAAAGCTCTTTTCATCCAGGATTAGCAATTTCAAGCCTTTATATGCAGTAAAAGACAGACAGTCATATACCTAATGCCAGTCAGCCCTGAAACTGCTGGAAAACACAGAGAGTGGAGCTCAAGTCAGCTATTACGTAGGATTGGGCTTTGGAAGGGGAAACAGAGCAGGCTGCAGCAGCCCCAGAAACTATAGGCAGGAGCCAGCAGCAGGACCGATGGGATGTGGGATGAGGGCAGCTCAGCCTCAGTCTTCTAGAATATTGCAGCAGAGGTGAACACAGAAATCATGCAATTGAAAACCATCACCAGATGGAGCGGGGAGGCGTTAAAGAATAGTCTTGTGAAACAGGTTGTATGGGGCAGAGTCTCCTCTTGGGTCAGAGGGGCATAAATGCCGCCAGGAAGAGTTATTATTCACACCTTGGAGGTGCTCAGAGGTAGTTTTCACACCTTGGAGCCTGTCGGGTGACGGCCACGAGCAGCAGTGCGGGGTAACTCCCAGCGTGTGGCTTTCAGAAGGGTTTTCCAGGGGTGAACCCTCTTTAAAGAGGGTGACCGAGGTCCAGCCCAGGATCTCCGAGCTCACTGAAATCAGTGCCCCCAAAGCCGCACACAACCCCACGGGCACTTCTGTCCCCATCCCTCCTTCCCTCTCCCACCTTACCCTCACTCAGCTCAGCCGCTGTCCGCCGTGGTTCCCATCTCCTCCGCTCTCTCACAGCCAACAGCCACGAACGCTGGAGTCAGCTCCTCTGAGCTTCTGGTTTCCTGTCACCATCTGAATCACTCACCCCAGCATCCGCCGGTCAGCCCCTGGCCACGGGACCGCGGCGCTGCTCGCCCAGGCTCACCCCGGCCAGGCGTTTATCAGCCGCAGGGAGAGGAAGAGGCCGGGCTGGTGAAGAGCCCTGCGGCTGCCAACGTCCCTTCCCAAGCAACCCTTGGGGCTCACATGGGGCCGGTGCCCCCCAGAAGCGCTTTCAGCGCAGCGCCGGGGCGGGATCTAACACCGCGCACTGCGAGCGGCGGGTGCCGCCTCGGAAACCTCGTAGCAGGTAAAGCCAAACTGCAGGTTCTCTCTTAGGTTTCTATAGCGGAGATGATGCCTTCGAGGCAGCAACAGCCCGAGGTCAGCGCTGCGAGCAGCCGGACCCGGAGCTGTAAGAACAAAGCTGCTCCTGACACCTCAGCGTTGGCGGCTCGCAGGCATCAGACACCGTTTCACGGCGCTCCTGAAAACCCAGTGGTAGTTCCTTGGTGTTTTGGTGCTTAACTAGGAGAAGGAGGGTTTGTGAATAACGGGGAATTGATCTGCTGGCTCAGAGCCCCGTTACAGCACATGAAATACGTGTCCTGCTCTAGGCACGTGTGCAGCAGCCCTATGTAGTTGTGGCTATTGGAGCACAACAGCCAGGCAGGCACACGCTTTACAGCTGCCAACACAACAGCGCTCCGTGCTGGCTGCCACTGAGGCTCTGAACACTCCCCTCGCACACAGGCACCTACATTATCCAGTAAAGGGAAATTCTGTTGTATTTAAAGTAGGGCGCTCTCAGGGGGCCAGAAGCAGTCACCCACATCCACCTCTGTTATAGAGGCTGACTCTGTCACAAACATCACACAATACCCAGCTTTTGCCACGCCGGGATGGAGCTTTCAGAGGAAACACCGCGTTGATAAGAGCTCACCACTGCACATACAAACACGTTCACACGTTCTTACAGCTCTAACCCAAGGTACAAAAGTCATTGCTTTGATGAGCATCACAGAGACTTTCCCACACAAAATGTGGGCGCAGGAGCCTATCTTGAAACAAGAACCAAAGATCAGAAGACCCAGCCTCGGCTAGCTCGTGTGGTATCCTCTGTATAAAGGGTACTTACAGAATGCTTTCCTGACTGCTAAAACAGCTGCTGCAAAATTGGCCTTTCTAGCAAAGGTCCTCACTATGAAGTAGTTTATTAGGGGCTTTCTAGTGGTTTTTTAAATGTATTTAAACATAACCTAATAACAAAAGTTATACAAAGGAGTTCTTTATAGCAGAATTGATGCTCTGAACACGCTGGGGACAACTGCAGCTCGGTTTTCAGATCAGAAATCAATTTCACTGGGACCAGCCACTGCCAAACAGGTCCCATGTATTTGCTTACAGGTTCTCTGGTGGGTCTCACGGCTCCAGAGATGACTCAGTGCTGCTGTACAGACGTTACCACAGTCGGTAATGAAGGCACCTTGTGTTAGCCCCCTACTTGTCTCCTGGACTGATGCGCGCATCAGCTCAGCCTCTCCAGAAGCTGCTGTGCCCAAGGGGGAAAGCAGCAGGGTCACTGCCAGCGCATTACAGCAGTGATGCCCTTCAGAGACCTCAGTCCTCTTGAGAGGGCAGCCACCTCGATGTCTAACCTGGATGCAGAGGTGATCACTGCAGTAACATGTACCACTGCAGATGCTATCTCCCTGCTTCCTATTTCTCATGAGAAGAGCTTGGTGCAGGGATTCAGGATGAGAGCACTCACCCTGAGCACCTACCAACACAACCATGAGTTCTGCTCCTCCTGAGGCCAGACCAAGCCCCCTTGGACACCAAACCCACTTCAGACTCCACTCTTCATCCTCTTCCTCCTGTAACCCCCTTGTTTTTCATACAGACCTACTGCTAGAAACCATTTGTGGTCTAATAAAACCATTTCTGGTCTGAAAAGAAGGTCAAAGACACAGGAACATCATGGTTTTATCGACTGCAATAAATAAATTATACAAAATGCCACATTACATTTGCACCTTCCACATACTTCTCAAAGCTTACCCATTTCTAGCTGTAGAAATATCTCTTTGGGCCCAGAAAGATTGTGAGAACCCCCTCTCCACCCTGCCCACCTTACCTGCTGAGGCTGGAAGGCCGAATGGCCATGGAGATCAGCTCACATCCTTCGTGATGAGGGTGGGGTCTGCCCAAAGCCCAGCTGGTTTTGCTTGAACCAGGTGTTAGGACTAACGCTGATCAGAAATTAGCAGTGAAACAAGGATGAGAAAACGTTGCATCATCTAAACTGCCCCTTCTGCAGAAGCATACTGTTTGTGACAGGCCAAGGGGAATGGCTTTAACCTGCCAGAGGGGAGACTGAGATGAGCTCTTAGGCAGAAGCTCTTCCCTGTGAGGGTGCTGAGGCGCTGGCACAGGGTGCCCAGAGAAGCTGTGGCTGCCCCATCCCTGGCAGTGTTCAAGGCCAGGTTGGACACAGGGGCTTGGAGCAAGCTGCTCTAGTGGAAGGTGTCCCTGCCTGTGGCAGGGGTTGGAGCTGGATGAGCTTTAAGGTCCCTTCCAACCCAAACCATTCTATGAGTCTGATTCTTTGCAACACACCTGATACTGAAAGCTTTGAGGAAAGGTGCTGAGCTCCAACAAGTTCTTTTCCCCAAACCTCATGAGCTTTGTGAGTCAAGCATTGCCCACTTTGCAGGACACAAGCATTCAGATCCCCCTTGTGCTGGGACCAGAATAAGCACACGTCTCATCCCAGGCACTTAATCAAGAAGTGATTTTGGTTCGCCAGATTTTCACAGCGACTTTAATGAAAGCCACACCTTGAAGGAACTATTCTGATGTGCTAAGGCAGCGCAAGCACGTTTCTGTATAGCCCAAGAAACAGCTTTCCTCTTAAGCTGCAGCCTCATGAGCACCTCCCCAAGGAAAAGGGGAAGTGCCACCTCCTCCCTGCCCCAGCTGCATGCCCCATTGCAAACCTGACCTCCCTGAGCCGAAACCGAGAGCCACCCCGTTATAGCAGGAGGTACCTGCTGCTACCACCCAGTGCAAGGACAGCTCACACCCAGGGCTTCTGGGGGCTTTACACCCATTTGCCCAAGTAAGCTTTGCAAAGACTAATCCCATACATCCCTGTGGTGCTGCAAAGCTTCTTCCCATTCTTACTCATCCTTGTAGGCACGGTAATTCCGAAATCTGACCACGAAGCCCTAGAAGGTTTGAATGCTTTTATTGGATTGGTTTTTGTACAGCAATACAAATTGTACAGGTTGGTTACAGTACAGGTTCTGCAGGGGTTCAGAGAGGTACTTGGTGATTTTTGGTTTAGTTAAAAGAAAGAGGCAGATCTCGGGAGCACGGCGACAAGAACAAAACACTCTCACAGTAGGGTGCGAGATCCCTGCCGTGGGGAACACTTAACCTGGCTGAAACCTACAGGGCAGGACGGCAGCGTTCCCAATAACAGACCCAAAACATCAACCCTGGGATACTCTCTAGAGCTTTACACAAGAATCTGTGAGCTTACAGGTTGGTCCTGTAACAGCACTGAAGGTCCTTAAAGCCCTTGAATGCACTTTGCTGCGAAGGGGACAGAAAAGAGACAGAATGAGGTGTTAAAATGAAGCTGCCATCGAGCAGGACACGTCACAAAACACAGCCACTGCAGCTATGGAAAAGGAAACCAGAAAACGCTTTAGATTTAATCACCCAAACAGCTACATGAAGATGAGGAACATGATCTCAGAGCTAATAACACTGACGTGGGCGACACCATGCGCACACGGTGACACCACTTGTGCGACCAGAACCTGATTCTTGTGCCCATCTGAGCTTTGGGTTTATGTGAGCAGACACAGGTGAAACCAGCAAAGCTCCTTTGCAATCCCTGATGTGCAGGGCAGGGGCAAGCCATACCTTGGTAGCACCTTCCTCCAGTTAGCCTAGAACATACAATGTCATCAAGATATTGTTATTACAAACGTGCATCAGGCTTGAGAGGCAAGTGTCTGGCACTGAAGGATCAAACCCTTTCAGAAAGCAGGGTCAAAGAATCAAAATGCTTCTGCTCAGTTGGATTAATAGCACTGCAGTGAGTGGTATCACAGGGAACAGAGTAAATTACAGATTATATAGATAAAATGCATGCACCTGATAAAAGATGGCCCTCTGCCACTTCAAATGAATTGGATTCCTTAACACCCTGCAGTGGGTAAGTGGCACTTGAGGGGAGGGATTCAGCTACCAGATTAGAACATTCCAGTCTCAGCTGGAATCCCTCTTCAGCCACAGAAACTCCCCTTTCTGCATATTTCAGATGAGCATCACCTACAAAACCGCATCCCAAGACCCCAGTCCAGAAAAGTGCCCTCGAGAACAAAGGTGCTATGCTAGAATGTGCCAGGATCTATCACAGCGCCACTCCTTCAGAGCCTTCACTGGCAGTAAAACGCAGAAACCATGAGTATGTAAAACACAAACTTAACACGAATGTGAAGATGCTCGTGGGTAACAGCTTATTGCCCGTGTTCTTGCTGGAAGCCAGCAGGAATAATGATACTTCCACACACTGAAGGAATGAGGTGGCATCAAACCCCAGGGATCTATGCCTGGCTGCCGGCTGCGCTGCTCGGAGCAAACGGGACTCCTTTGTCCAAAACACATTCCAGGTGAGCAGGGGGATTCCTGGAACCCAAGCACTGGAAACAACTTTGCTCAAAGCACTGAGCAGGACAAGGGCTGCTCTCCAAGTCACTACAAGCGAGCACTCTGCATTTCAGACTTTGCTGCCTTTATTCTTCAGTCTTTCCTACAAAAAGGAGGGGCTGGAATATCACAGGATTTGCTCCAAACTTCCCAGCATTCTGCAATCTTTTCTGCAGAGCAGTCAGCAGGTAGCACTACAGGGAGCAACTGCTGCACCATACTGTGTGCTAAAGTCAAGATGGAAACTGTAACAGAACTCCCAAAACAAACTGAAAACCATCAGGATCATCCAAACCTGCCCTGGGATAGCAAGTCTTGGGTACAGCTGCTTGCTGGGACGCCTCGCACAACTTCAGACACTCATGGTCAGCATCAGAGGCTCTCAGCAGTGCCAGCACATCTCAGTAGCAGGCTAGCATCTCGTTGCTACTTTAGGAAGGCGAGTAAGCCACCCTCTGGGGCACAGATTTGACTCTATCCCCAGCCTATCATTTGAATAGGGGAACACTCCTCCT